TATTATAGGAGAATGTACGGTAACTAGCGGTATTTACCGGTAACTTCCGGTATTTACCGGTAGCTTGCAGTAGACTGCGTACAGCGTACCGGAAAATAATGCGGTATTGCCCGCGCATTTTGAATGGCTGCATCTGTATGCCTCAGGAACTCATTCATAGTGTAATCCAAACAAAAGAGCTGCTGGGCACACCATGATCCTGACATGCAGTTGCGAAGTAGAGTTAGCAGATTCTGATTTAAAAGATTCTGCATTTGTGTTAAGATTTGTATCTGTTGTAGCTGTTAATACAAGGGTGAATACAACTGAGGCTCTATTGTTTAAAGTTTAAAGTCATGCAATGTCTAAGTTAGGAAGTAACTTGTCATTGTTTCTAATTTTGATTTTCTTTAAAAAATGTTTTTAAAATCAGCTTCCCACATTCACCTTGCCATAACCATAGTGGGGATATAGCATATTTGGGGGCTTGTTCAGGATCTTTGATTTGTTTTATGGAGCCGATATTTTTCCTTGGGTCACGTGTGCTAAACTTGGAGTTGTTTAAGTTTGTAGTGGTCCTTTGTATTATAGGTATTACGGTACTAATGTTTGTATTAAGGCGTAATCGTGGTGTCCATTCTGGCTTTCAGTTTCGAGGAGTTTACCCTGCACCCGACTTTGGAGCAGTTTGAGAAATGTCGAAAGGCAGATGTTTTATCGATAGCGGGTTTTAGTCTCTTAGTTTACAAGGGACACAGCAGGTGTTGAACTGAGGAAAGGATACAACCTCTACGCCCCAGACAGACAAAGGTGATAAAGGGGATATAAATCCATTCAAAAGGGTGCAGTGTGTTAACACAAACTCTAATAGGGCCGCTTGTGAGAGTAATGTAACTTTCTGCTCAATTACATGAGAGCTACAGTACGGTCAGATAGATTTTAAATTCTTTAAGCAATATTAGCTGTTTGTCAAATTCACCTACTTTGCACAGTACATGACTTCTGAAAAGGTTACTTTATCTCTCATGCAATGTCATCAAAGATTTATTTGTTAGAATTCTGAAAGTTGGATGATATGCCTCAGGGACTCATTAATAGTGTAATCAAAACACCCTCCCCCACAGATATACCGAACCAGTAGCATACACAGCAATGAACGGCAGTGAGTTTGTATACTGTATAAATATACTGTATGTACGGTATCATACCATATGGTTTCAAATCCACTACAGTGCCGAATATGTGAAATATTTTTCTTAATCAAAATTTAAAGTTAAATTTCTCATTGCTGAAATTTGGATAAAAATTTGGAAATTTGTAAACCTGAAAGAAGCACATCACGTTCCAAACAAGCTATAATAACAAACTATTTTTACACATCCAGCTATGTAAAAAGTATAGCCAAAGGGATCGCTCTAAAGGTTAATCCCAAGCTGAAAAGACAAGACTCGAGGTGTCTTCTCTGTAACTCTGTAACCTAAAAGTGGCAGATCGCGTTCACAACAAGCTATAATAGTGGACTATTTTTATATATTCGACTATGTAAGAAACAAATCAAAAGTAATTCCCTGATTTGCCTTTGAAGTGCTTGGGTGCAGTGCCCTACATTACAGTCCATTGGCCATTAGCACTACGGACAATAAAAGTTTTGTTTTTTTTAAACGGATATCAAAATGTTTCCAAAACATCCGCTTGTGATATTTTAGCTGCTTAGTTACACGATTCCATATTAATATTACTATCAAGTGGTATTAAATCAATACAACTTTTTCTTAAATAATAGCAAGTGGTGTTCTTACTACATATACTTAGAAAAGGATATAACATTATAACTTTTTATGAAGTACAGTATATAAACTTTATAATGTTAGAACAAGCACATTAAACCCATAACCCACTGTAAGTCACCAAGTTAAAGACTTTGATACATAAAATATTTATGAAGAAGGAGGAATACTGTTGTGTACTTTTTTTAAAATTTAGCTACCACTACCATCTGCTGTGTGTACATTAGGTACGTATTACGTTATACTACTGTTTTTATTTTCGGCTACCAAAATTTACCTTGACTACAATGTGTCATGCTCACAAGCTACAGTAATTATAATAAACTATTTTATTATATATCCAACTAAGCAATCATGCTTTTATAAAATATACCTATTTTTTAATTAGTTCAATATTTAATATGCTGTAATACAGTTTAAAATTAATAAAAGTTTAAACAGTTTACAATTTATATTCTATAATTGGAAAAAGACTGTCCCTCAGCATTGACCAGGATTAAAAACCAGGCGTTTTCTGGCAACAGCCCAAATGCTCCACATGCCACATTAAACTTTCACTGCTCCACCTTGCCATTTTACAATGAAGTGCAACCACAAAACTGAGTATTTAAAAAAACTGTGGGTTGCCGCAGACCATGAACTGCAAACTTCTGCAGCATCCCTTGGATTAGAAAATTTTGTATTTTGTACAATAGACAGAGAAAACATCACCACAGGAACTCTTTAGATTCCCATAATGCACCAAATCTGTAGAGATGGAAGTTTTAATATTATATCACTGGACTTAACTATATTGTTTCTATTTAAAAAATCTCTGATAAAGACTTTCACAGAGTAACAGCTAACACATGCTAATGTTAACAATAAGCCATATGTATTTGACAGGAAAAGATGATAATCTAGGATACAACACTGGCAACATGAGAACAGATCTGAATAAGTCTCTATAAATTGCACAACTATAAATGTTTAGATAGCTATCTTATATTTAGATAAATGCATTGCTTCTTGTATTATTTTATGCAGCTGAGTGTTTTCTACTTTTCAAACTTAAGTACCACTTTTTTAACTAGCAACTTTTTTTTGCTTTCAAACTATCAAAGATACCAATTATTTTAGGAATGGCTTTCACTTGAACACCTCCAAGGGGAAGGGTATGCCTTGTCTTTTTACATTTAATTTTTAAAAAACTATGCTATCTGTCTACAATCAACAATACAAAACTGAATAGATGTGACAATATTAAACAATACTCAGCGGAGGAGCATATAGAGATGGTGATGAGTCCAGGTAGAAAAGACTTCAGATGATTATTGTGTTAGTGTTACACAAAGGTCAACTAACATTGACAATGCTTTTGCATACTAGTGTAGGAATGCATACCACAGGTTGCAAACCACCAGCCAAGATGGAAACCTTTCAGAAATTTAGTCCAGTATGTTTATCCAACATGAAAATTTTGTGTTGTTATTGCTGAATTCCGATGGCTGTGTGGGTCTTGTGTCATTCTATCTGTAAACTATTTTTTATATATCAAATACTCACCAATTTACAACACAGAGGCCAAAACCACCACATCAGAAGCAGTGCCAGAAGAATGAAAAGTACCAGAAAGACAATGGCCACAGCAGTACCATTAGACTAAAAAACAAAACATAAAAAAACACAATGTTAGATAAGCATCTGGAATGACTGATTTAGTCTTGAAAGGTGCTCTGAAATGACTGCAATGTTTCCAAACAGAACATCTACACTCAAAGAAATGAATTAGTGATTAAGTTAAAGTACTGTATGTCCCAGTACAGGAGCTACCAATAAACATATACACGATCAAGGCTAGTATGCTATAGAGAATATAGCACCAAATGCAAAACAGAGTGCACATATTATGCATTAAATATTCACTAAGTATTTTAACTAAGTATTATTACTAATGTATTTTTATTTTACATGTGGCAGGCATATATCAATCCAATCAATCATTCAATACATCATTTGGTGCATTCAATGCAGTTACCTACAGTCATTCCCACTTACACAAGATGTGGCATAGATAGTAACAGCACTTGAGATGAAGGATTGGCCATTGTTCAAACTTACTAGGACATCTAAGGATCTATTTTGAGAAAGAAAAAAAATGTAGTAATGTTAATAATTTCACAGTTTTTTCACTTGAATTAAATGAGTCTCCATAAGGCATAAAAGTCATAAGAACAATACAATTCACCTGCCCTATCAAATCAAGGACCTTTGGGCATTCATATTGAAACAGATCTAAATACATTAGGAAACTCCTGCTGGTTATGTTAGGGTAAAAACTGAAATCATACAGTTGTGAGAAAAAGTTTCTGAAACCTTTGGAATTATCTAGATTTCTGCATTAATGGCTCCTAAAATGTGATCTGATCTCCATCTAAGTCATAATAATAAATACAGTTTTATTTAAGAAACAACACACACGACATTTTAAATTGTCATGTCTTTATTGAATTAATGATTAAAACAATCAAGGTAATTGATGGAAAAAGTATGTTAACCTCTAGGATAATGACATCTTGAAAAGATGGTAATTTGGAGTCAGGTATTCCAAACAATAAGTCAGGTGTTCCAATCATTCCAGGTGTAGGTTTGGCCTGTCTTGCTGTATAAAAACTCACACAATTTTGGTTACTTGCTCTTCACAACAGAATTCTCTTGAAGTGCAATACAGCCCAATCAAAACAAACTTCAGAGGACCTTAGAAGAAGAGTTGTTGAAGTTCGTAAGACTGGAAAAGGTTACAAAAGGATTTCTACAGACTTGGGCCTCCATCAGTCCACAGTCAGGCAGATAGTTTACAAATGGAAGAATTCAGCACCATTGCTACTCTCCCTAGGAGTGGGTGTCCTACAAAGATCAGAGCAAGGGCATGCTGTACAGTCCTCAAACAGGTGACAAAGAACGCTAGGGTGACAGCTAAGGATCTGCAAGATCTCTTGCACTTGATGACGTCAAGTATGTTCATACGTCAAGTGTTCATTAGTCTACCATAAGAAAAACACTGAACAAGAGTGGTGTTGATGGGAAGTTACCAGGGAGGAAACCACTGCTCTCCAAAAAATACATTGCTGCCTGTCTCAGGTTTGCTAAAGACCACCTGGATGTTCCACAGCACTACTGGAACAATGTTCTGTGAACAAATGTGACAAAAGTTGAACTTTTTGGTAAATGTACACAGCGTTATGTTTGGAGAAAACACAACACTGCATACCAAAACCTCATCCCAACTGGAGGGAGTATAATGGTGTGGGGCTGCGTTGCTGGGTCGGGACAGCTTGCAATCATTGAGGGACCAATGAATTCCAAGTTGTATCAGAAAATTCCACAGCAGAATGTCAGGATGTCTGTGATCTAAAACTTAAAAGAAGTTGTGTCATGCAACATGACAATGATCCAAAAGACAGGAGTAAACAAACAACAGAGTGGCTCAAACAGGAGAAATTCCATATTTTAGAATGGCAAGTCTGACCTCAATCCCATTGAAATCCTTTGGCGTGATCTGGAGCAGGCCATTCAAGCAAGACATCCCAAATATATACATGAACTGAAACAATTTTGTTTTTATAGAGGAATGGGCCAAAATACCTCCTAAATTCTGGTCTGATCAGCAGCTACAGAAAGTCTGGTTGAGGTTATTGCCAATAAAGAAGGTTTCACTAGTTACTAAATATAAAGGTTCACCTACTTTTTCCATCAATTACCTTGATTGCTTAAACAATTTGTTCAATAAAGTAAAATGTTGTGTGCTGTTTGTTAAATAAGACTGTCTTTTTTATTATTCTGACTTAGATGAAGATCATATCACATTTTAGGAGCCATTCATGCAGAAATCCAGATAATTCCGAACAGTTAACAAACTTTTTCTCACAACTGTACAATTGAGTATGATGAATGACAATTATCAAGGATACAAGTTTCTGGAGGCCTTCATCTTGCATTGGATTGACAAAACACAAATATAAAAACTATGGTAATATACACCTTTTATGCATTATGACGAGAAATAAGATCATATACCAATAATGACTATATGCTAGGACTAATGATAGTATAAAGTATTAAAGTGCACAGGATTAATATTAAATTCTTCTTATTTTTGAAAACAAAATGGGTGCAATTATTTACGCTAATAATGACATTTTAATTACTTGAGTTAACAATGCTTTTTTTATTGCCATTAATTGTAACTTCATATAGATACCAATGGATGCAATGTAAGCTAGCTTAGGTCTAAATTTAAAACCTGCATCTAAACAGACTCATCTTTTGAGCTTGTCATTCAAAATATTTCACCACTTATGATTATAAAAATATACAGGCATTTGTGAATCAGTTGCAGATATGGATTAGTCATACTTAATTAGAACCTTGACAAACATTACTAAATAAACGCCCAAAAGATGTGATTTTTCTTGGCAGAATAATCTCTAGAGGTTCAAGTATGCAGCACCTATTTGCCTTTGCAATGTCCTTATTGACACCACAACATGTTGAATGAACTTAAAGGGCACAAGTATTTCTTTAGAATTTTCTACAACACTAATCTTAGGATAAAATACTTCATAAGTAAAACAACAAGAACTGAAGGGGGTAGCTATGCCAGTGTGTGGGAAAACTAGTAGAAGTTGAATTCCATGCTGAAAATTAAAAAGAAGAGAAAGAAAATGTGTTTCAACTGTTGACCTTTCTTTTATGTCTACCTTCTTAAGTTATTTAGAAATTATAACAAGGCTTTTAACGGAAGCAATCGTTTTTATTTTATATAAACCACAAACTAATTTTTGTTAAAATCTTAAGTGCTAAGGTGAATTATGAGGAAAGCTTTCTTTATGTAAAACATAACATTTATGAAATAAAGAAAATGCAATAAATGCCATCTATCTATAAATTTATTAACTATACAGTATATTGAATGTAAATATTGAATCTAAGACTACCTTCTAGTAGTAGTAGTAGGCTGGGCAAACGATTTTTTTTTTTTAAATAAATAAAAAATGAGATATAATGATGTGTTCCTGCTTAACTTAGACATTGCATGACTTTAAAACCTATAAAAATGGGTTTCCAGAGTTAAAAACCACTTTTATGCGCGAAAAATGGGTGATTTTTCTTCCTCGTGATCAGCTCAGAATCTCTGTGTACGGTGTAAGGTTTTTACTTCTTAATTAAACGTTTAAAATATACGAATTTCATAAAGACAACACACGATACGAAGAGAAAAAATCCCATTATTTTCTTTACCTGTTGTGTGAAACTCATCAGCAGGTCTTTTTTTCCCAATCAGAGGCTCTGAAAATAGCGTACCGCCCACTGCAAACGTTCTACTGCCTGGAGCGCTTATGGCAGCGATTGCGTCTGCATTTATAACTTAGTTTTTAAAATTAATCAAGCAATATGAAACATCTCTTTTTACTTTTAAGTCACTTAATTATCATTAAGCACAGCTTTCTCACCACCTAGACTACTTTTTGATACCATCCTTAGACAAAGCAGAAACTTCTTGTTCTGTCTAATGACATTACAATT